CCTGCCCTTCAACACTTCCAGGGATGGGGCATCCGTGACTTCTCTGGGAAACCTGTGCCTCACCACACTCACGGTAAAGAACTTTTTTCCTAATATCTAAACTAAACCTAATTTCCTTTTTTAAAAGCCATCCCCCCGTGTCCTATCACTACATGTCCTTGTACATATTTCATTTTTATTGACTTGACAAGTTTCTGTATGCCTCAGCTTCATTCTAGTTCCAAAGTGTAACCAAAAGGGAGGATCTCTACCAAAGTTGTCTTTGTTCAGGTGAGGTGGTCCCGGTTAGGAGCCTGGGAGTTGCAGTTAACTTTTTACCATAAAAAACATCACAAGAGTTAACGGTGGAGCTTTGCATTTGGTGAACACCAACAGTTAAAATGGTAGCTCTCATCTAACACACCTCTTTTTAATTAATGGGAGTTAATGAGCAGAACTGAGGGGACAGTAAGGGGATACCCAGCCTGGGATGGTGACCAGCAGCTCGGGCTGGGTTTGATCAGGGTAACCTGTTTGTCTGGTAGAGCTAAAGCAAGGACAGGATCTGTGTCCCCAGTCACACCTCTCCAGCTGTGTTTGATCCAAGTGCCTGCTGTGCCAGGAGTCAGGCCCCTTCTTTGCTGTGGATCTGAGGCCAATACGTTTTGTTACTGCACAATAGGTAATGGAAGCCACTACAGATCTAAAAATGTCTCCTTTAGGTTTGGGCTTTCCTAGGGCCTGGTCCCACAGGAATGTGATTATTTTGTGAAGTGAAAGAGAGCGTTCTCTGTACTGTGAGATCTCATTGAATTCCTGCCTCATCCTGGAGGCAGGATTGCCCAGAGCAGTTCTGAGATGCAGACCTTTTAATAGCATGTGGGCAGACCTAATCAAGCCCACAGCACAGTCTGCAGCAACCCTTCTAAACCAAACTTTGCCCCTCTGCACTCGTTCTTTACAAGTACTCAGCTCCCACCATTTCAAAGCAATCTTTTCAGAAAATCAATAGTTCTTCATCTCCTTCAGAATGAGAGCAAGTGGGACACTTGGACGTTTGCTTTGTAATCTCTTCAAAAATTGCTTTCTTGTCCTCCCAACAGAATTAGGAAATATTGCAGTACCAAAAAAATCATATAAAAAAGAATCTCAAGCTTTTTCAGCACGTCTCAGTGGTAGGACCAGTCTTTGTATCCCTTTTCATTTAGGGATTACCCTAAGCTCACTGCTCTGTTTATACCTTAGGCACACACATACATCCTTGTTCCTCACACAGAGAAATTATTTGTTCTCACGACTCTGCTTTTCAGGAGCCTACTGTAAAAATCTTCACCATTTTAAAATTTTCATTTTCTCTCCCTCTTCTCTCTCAGTGGCCCTTTAGCTGTGAAAATGAACTGCTCTGCTCCTGCCGTGCAGAGCTGCTGAATCCAGTCATGGAAGGCTGGCCAGGCATGGAATGCTGGCCCAGGCTTCACATCCCGTCAGACACAGCACTGACCTTTTTTCCCTAATTGACAATGTGGGGCTTTGTGCTAATGGGGTGACATCATCACTCAGAGCTGGAATGCTCTCCCTGCTGTCTCTTTTGTCTCTCGGTATTTTGCTCCCACACTTTTAGAGGAAGTACATCCCTTGGAAGGAGTTTAAGGAAGACAGTTGCACGGCGCCTGCAAAACATATGCAGAAAACATCTTTGATTTTTCCCTCTTTATTTTTCCCCAGTCACACTAGTTACCAACCATGTATCCTGAGCCCTCACTGTGTACTGAATCTTTCTTTTCTTTCTTCCAGGTTATGATCACTGATGCTTCTTCTCTGTATTTGCTTTCCCTCACTGTCCTGAGACATGCTGCTGGGGAGACTGGTTCCTCTTGGGTTTGAATTATAATTGTAGTTGTTAGCCTAGTGTCCTTTTACAGCTCTAATTTTATTCAAACAACTTGTTAGTAAGATCCTTGAGCATCTCTACAGCAATAAATAGTTAATTGAGGTGCCTAATTTTGTGTTAAATTGCTGGCAGTTTATATTACTGAGTATCACAGCAAAAGTTAAGTTTTAAAATAACACTTTAAGGAACACATGGAGGGGAAGAGGCCCCAAAGAAATGGAAAATATTAAGAGCTTTATTTAGCCATCTTGTGAGATTGGCTCACTCATTTCAATAAATACTCTAACTTTTAGAGATACTGCTTGTCCTGGTTTCAACTTCCTTAAAACTTAAAAAATTTGTCTTAATGATTATTATAGATTGGCAGCCATGTGCCTAAACACGCAGACTTGTCTCAGCCAACAAACCCAATAAATGTATGTGATGGGCTTTCGTTGGAGAAGACAGAAAGAGCAGAAGTTTCACGATCTGTTCATCCCCCTCCCTTTATCCCCTCTCCCATGTCTTACATACTGGGTGCTCCTAGTTCATGGTATATATTTCCAGCCTGCTTCAGCACCAAATGAAATGGATTAGCTCAGTTCCCAGGTATTTTAGTGGATCTGTTTACCCTAAGCTCTTTTAATTAGCACAGAAATGCACTGGGAGCTGCTGCAGTAGGAGAGAAGGGAAGTATTGACCATCTGGAAGAAGCAGCCTCTTAAATCACTCGGGCCAGCTCTGCAGGACCATGGCTGGCTGTATCCTTTCTTCAAGAAAGCAAGGATGATAAGACAGAAAAAACATAGAGGGAAAAAGAAGAAATGTTCAGGAGGAAGAGGAAGCAAATATCATTACTATTCAAGACTATCCAAAGTTGGCAGGAAGAGGGATTTACCTATTTTCCTTTTTATGCCTAAACAATGCCCAAATATTTCATAGAAGTCTCCTTTACATTACAGTGATCTCCATGCTGTCCTTTCCCTTCTGCATCTGACCGTTGTTCAAGAAGGCAATGACAACTACATTATTAACACACCCAGTGAAAACTTCTTGTGGTTATTTGAATTGTATTTCCCATTTAATTTTGCGTGTTATCCTTAAAGACACAATAGGTATTTTAACCAGGATTTGTTTCTTACATTCTGTGTTAGTCATATTTACCCTAAACTTTAGTTGGCTACCACAAGCTATTGTGAGTAATAGAAGGAGTTGGGGGTTGTGTTACTTTGAACAGTAAGCTTAAAAATTTAACCCTAACCCTAAGCCTGTCTTTGCATGGGTGCCTAGTAAACCATCTGATAGCTGGGAACACTAATTATTAATACAATTCAATATTTCTCTTATGTCTATAGCCTAAGGAGATCAGTGCTTTGTCCTACTCAGCACCACATAAACAATTGATACACGAGCTTTGGCCTCCAATAGCAATTAGGATAATATGGTTAAATCCCTGCAAATTGCTATGAAAAGCCCATGATTAACTTTGCCAGATTTCAGCCCAGAGCCAAATTTATTGGCTTTCTTTAAATAAATCCCAAAATTATTGGGATTTTTTTTTTTATAAACAGGTTAAATACAGTGAGTAAAAATAGTGTTTAGAGTGGAAGTGCTGACAAAACCTTTACTGCAGCAATGTGGACAATGCAGCTGTAATAATGGCAAGTGTGCCCTTATCACTGCAAGAAAAATGTAAGGAGTCCTGAATTTGCACTGAATGAGCCATTACTTATGTCTATCACAAAAAAAACAAGAGTACTGAACAAAAAAAGATACATTAAGGGTTGGATTTTTTTTTTCCCCAAAAGAAAACTAAAAATAAAAAAGATCAGATGTGACTCAGGCTTTCAAACAATAAAAATAGCAAGATAAAAGAACTAGGTTGCTTCATTGCCTTAAGAAATGGCTAGAATCTTAAAAAGTCTGAAACGTGATTGTGAGAGACTCACTTTATGGGCTGCTAAGGAGGTGCTGACCTTCGTCATCAATAGATTGCCTGAGCCTTTGTGGTATTCAGCAGTAAAGGAAGTGCTTAAAAAGTCATCCTGCTGAAAGATGGACTGGAAAAATCTCCAGTTCAGATCTGAGCATAGCTGTTGTCAGTGCACATGCTCATTCAGAAAGTCTGTCTGTAAATCTAATACAGATAAATCTTACTTCATTTTTAAGCGATAAAACTGGAGCATCCTCACCTTTAGAGATGGATCAGGATATCTGGAATTCAATAGAAGTGAAATTATTATAGAGGAGGGCAGCTAATGACCTACCTGTTGTGGAGCTTTGGATGTGTTTTGCTGTAGTACTATATTTCCCTGTCTGTACTAGAGGACATTGAAGGAGTGGGATAACACAAGTACCAGTGGTGTAATTTTCTTACACTTGCTCCACAGTTTCGGATGCAGTTTTGCCCGTTCCAACAGTTGCACTGAAATGAACTGTAGCAGATGACTGCCCTGTGATTTCAAATGGCCTTCTGGGAGAAAAGGACTGTTATGGATGAAAGAGTTCAATTCCTATAACTTCCTGGAAAAGTCCCATCCTTGGCTAAGCAGCACAGCAATATGGCAGTTGTCATTATATGTATCTTCTAGCAGTGTGAATTAGCCATGGTGGGGTATCAGGCTAACACAGCTATAGGGCTGCTGGGAGATAAGGGAGCTGGCTGACAGATAGGTGGGATATCTTTGCACAAAATGCGTGTGTTTGGCAGATAAAATCATGATCTGGATGAAAAATGTTGGGATGCTATCCTTGAGAAACAGTGCAGCGTTGAACATTCACAGCAGAGAGCCCAAAGTACAGATGGAACACTAGTGACTGGAGCTTCTGGGACAGTAGATGAGGTCCCAGGCCACCTTGTGGTCCAGGGCAAGTGAAAGCAAACCAAAACAGTGACAACAGCAATCTCTGCCAGTTCTGACCACGGGGGAAAGTATGTGGGGGGAGAATAACTGCTCTCTCCAGATCTGATGCTTAATTTGTCTCTGAGTCCTAACAAGGTGCATTCAAACTCAGATCATGGCTCTCCTTGGACTGCTGTAAAATGGTCAGTGTAAGGAACCTCCATCAGAATAAGAAAGATACTCAAGTCCCCTTTCTGATTCCCAGATGATGAATCATCCACCCCCACCCACCCTTAGATCTCCAGACCATGCCAGGGTATGATCCAGAAGCCAACACTGACAAATCCCACCTTCAATTTTCTTCTTCCTCCACAGACTCTGCCATGAAAGGCAACTGCACTCCTCAGAAACAGAGACTTGTACTGTCTACTGACAGATTTTACTGAAATTGGGAAACAAACCTCTGTCTGCAGTGCAGTCCCACAGAACGCACATCCCAAAGAGCAGGTAACAGCAGTGTAATGGTTCCAGTTTCAAGGCAGCTTAATCCCCTCTGGGAACTACTGAAGGAAATTCCTCTCTCCTGCCACTCCACTCCAATCAATGCTGAATGGTTCTGACTTGCTGTATGTAGATTCAGGAAGATAGCACTGCAGCCTTTGGTGTGTAGAAAGGTTTTACTTCACAACTGCATGGGAAGAAGCTCTTTTTGTTTGAAATCAAAGATTAAATTCTGAAGAAAAGAGGGCTCATCAAAGAACTGGCAAAGAATTTAACAACTAGGTGCTGGCTGAAATGCCAGCATGATTTATCAGCAGGTTCTTCTCTAATCTAATGTGAGATAATAGGAGAAGGTGTTGAAAGCAGAATCAAACTAGATACAGAACAAAAAGCATAAGTAATAGGGTTCATAAAATTATGTACATAAGGAAGTTTACATTATCCAGTAGGCAGGCCACTCTCCCATGGAAGGTTTCTTAGATAGATTGGGAAATCAACAGATAAGAGCAGATTTTAAAAGACAAATAACCTTATGTTCATTTTGCATGTTTGTTTGTTTGTTTGTTTGTTTTTTCCCACATGAGCTTCTCCATTTGAAGAGATGTGAATTACTTACTGACAGACCAAACAAAATACTTGGCTGTAGTAGCTGGTAGTGCCAGGGTCAGACATCTCTTAGCAAAGATTAACCCTCAAATTTGCAGAAAGCTGAATTTGCTTATAAAAGATCAGGAAGGTCATTCCTGAGAACTCACAAATTTGGAGTAGTTTCCTTCTAACTATAGCACTAAGTTGTCTGTATATATTCCCCTGCATAGTGCTTCATTAGAAGCATTTTACAGTAAACACTTCCAAAATAAAAACCAGACATTTTAACCAAAGTCTCAGGAAAATAGTTAACTGACAAAGATAATGATTTTCTAAAAGCTTTTCCCTGGAAGTGTTTTTTTATTGAGGCAGTGATTAAAGTGAGCCTGCCTGAGTCATAATGTGCCTCCATTGCACGACCCAAAGTCATGTTAATCAGCTTGAATACCTAAAAATACAGTAGGAACAGTGTAAATCCACTTGATACAGCAAAGTTCACTTCTCTGGTCCACCAGAGAAATGTCCATAACTGACCAAAGAATTATTGGTCTCCATTTTACTGTTTTCTCTCTTCTTTTTATTCCAGGGTAAATTATTTTTAAATTCTTAAGACAGTCTCATGCAAGCAGTTTGGTCCAGCCAATTTCCCATTCACACTGGTATCAACCCCCATCACATACAGGGCTTTACCTTTGTTAGTTTTCTGGAGAAGAGTCTGTTAATTCTCCTTGAAGGCTCCAAAGTACTATATGGCTGCTCAGGGGAAAGTTCCTGCAGAAATCTGATGAAGATCCTTAAGGATCTGTTAGAGTTCTATAGGGTCTCCAGGGAACAACCCACTCAAGAGGCTGTCAAAGTCCTGTGTTTCCCCTCCAGAACCTTCTATAGCCACATGCTGCGGGGCCACAAGGAGCTCCAGCACAGGTCCCATATGTGACAGCTCTGTTGGCATGACATGACACCAAGATCATCAGGCTCATCCCCTCAGATGGGGCTGGGACTGGGACTGGGACTGGCTGGAGTCTCTCTGCTCCACTGCACAGTGAAGATAAATTATAATTTCCTAAATTATCTAGTGCTGAAGCCAGAACTGAAAAATGCAGCTTCCAATCTTTAGGCTATGCTATGGTTTGTTTTAAAAAGGGATTGAATGTCTTACAAACAGGTAAAATTGCTGCCAGATGCAAGCACATTAGCCTTCTCCAGCTGCTTTACTGCTGCCATTCAAAATAGCTTGCTATAAATATGATTCCTTTGAGCTCCATTCTGACAAGTGTGGAGCACTATCTGGGAAGGGCCAGTGGTTTTCCATCCCCATTGAACTCAGCAGGAGTTGTGATTGCTCAGCATATTGCTGAAAAAAGTCTGCTGAAATTACCTTAAATCACACAATTATCCCCTCACCTCTTGCTTCTTTTCTTTCAGTCATGGAAGGAGGCAGAGAAACAGAAAGAAAGACAACAAAGAAATGGTGCAGACAGAGGAAACCACAAATGGAAATGGGAAAGCAATGAAAAACAAGGCAGGACAAAAGAAGAAACACCATTAGAGACTTGCAAGTGGGTATTCCCAAGACCTCTGCTTCATATTTTTGTGTCAAAACTAATGGAAATTGAAACAAAGTTGGTATACACTGATGAGGCCAAAATTTCCCTTGAGTTTGGGATGGTTCATATCACACAAACAGCACATCAACATCCTGAAAAACCACCTAAGGACAGCACTTTGCACTACATTGGAAAACAGTTCCATATGACCTTCTGGGAAGACAACACTTGCCACAGGCAGCAGGAGTACACAGCAGCAGCAGCCAAGTTCTCCACAGTTACGGGGTTAAAGAAGCACAATCACCACAGAGGAGTCAGTGCAAGTAAGTTGTTGTGGTAACTGGGTACAATAAGATCAAAGTGAACCAGGAGCACAAATCTGGGATGTGTAGGGTTGAATAAAAATCCTGAGATGCAAATTCATGTGAAATCTGAAAATTAAGAGTTATATATAAATATAGAAGGGCACTGGACTGAACAATAAAATCTCAGGTGATTTTGTATTTTTCTCTAAGGCTTCAACTGTATTTGTGTATGGAGGAAATTGAAAGGCCACAGAGTGAAAAGAAATGCTCCACTTTTTAATCCCAGCTCTATCAGGGATAAATGATGCCTCAATAATCAGGGGAGTTCCTACTCTGCCCCAGCTGTACAAGCGCTAGTGGGTCAAACGTCCTTTGGTTAAACAAAAAGTCCATTTTATTATCTTTTTTTCGCCCCTACAGCATTGTGCCCTCCATTTCCATTTTTCCTCTAAAGCCACTGGCTCTAAATCCTTTTCATTCTGCATGAGAAAGGAAGGGTCCCATAGTGAGCAGCTCCCCTGGGACTCAGATGTCCTTCTCTTCAGCAGCCAAGAGTCCAAAAGCTGGGATTTTGTGGAAAGAAAGACTTCTTGGCTGCCTGAGATACTAAAGAAATAATATGACCTTGGCTATGATCTTTGAAACTAATCTGTGATTTTCATGACATTCTGCCTTTAACTATTCAAACTAGAGCTGTCTTAAATGGTCTTGCTCTTCAATAAGTAGTTATTTCTGAGTTTTCAAAAGCACAATCCTTTCCAGTTTCAGGCTGAGCCCCCTAAAGGAGGGATCTACAGACCTTTGACTTTCTTCACAGTCTTAGCCAACCTTGAGTTTTATCAGTATAATATAACAAGAAAAGAGTAAAAGAGTGAGTATCTAACAGTCTGGCAAGGTTGCAATTAATTTCACAGAGGGGAGGGAAGAGAAAGGAGGTGTAGGAAAGCCCAGCAGGTGGGTCACTGCTCCATCCACCAGCCTCCTGTTTCCTGGAAGCCAGAGCCAGCAGCACTTACAGTAAAACTGATTGTTCAAAGTTGTATCATTATTCCCAGATTTCTCCAGTGCTGCTAATCTCAGTTAATTATATTGGAAATCCCTTGTATTATGACCATGCAATTCATAATGTGCCAGTAGAAGTCATGGTTCATAATAATCACATAATGGGCAAGGACTTAGGCATAATCAGATTTTAGTTACCCTGTCGTGTTTCCATAATGCTGCTATAAAACCAACATAATCACAAAAAAGCACCAGTTATTTAAACATTTTTATCAGATTGATGTACAGTATCTCTCTCTCTCTCTCTCTCTTTTAAATAATGTAAGATAACAAAAATTGGATTACAATTGCTGGGAACAGACTACGATAAACTGTTTGCTTGTGTGCAGAATGAAATTTAATAATGGCATCAGTGTCTCAATTTTTAGCAATGTTAAACCTGTTAAATAGTAGTATTCTGCAGCCAAAGGCTGCTCCCAAAGAGACAGCATCAGAGCATTGTGAAAACGATATCTCCAAGAGCTCAGCTGTCTTATAAACCTTGAAAGATGGCCTATATCCTCACAATTAACCTGGCTGCTAACATTTATTGTGGAGATGAGGGCTTGACTTTTTCCACAATACATGATGCAAAAAAACCCTCAGTAGCTGTAAGGATTTTAAAGGCCAGCGTCTGCTTCTCAAATAAAATTTAAAAAAAAAAAAAGCCATTTTCTATTTTACAGGAACACAGTTGGTGAAGAGAATAGAGAACTTGCAAGAGGGACTCCCTGGACTGTAATGTTTTATCTCCACTCTGACCCCAATCACTTCAGCTCTGCACTTGACATCCTGAAGAAGGGTCCAACTACACTTGTTTCAACAATGAACTGCCAAACTTAATTCAAAAGAATTTCTAAAACATTGGATGTTTTCAGTTGACAAGCAAATATCTGATTCCTATTTTTTCTACAATTGCTTTATTTTTAGGCAATAAATATAATAGCAGTGAGTGAGTAAGATCAGAGAGTGTCACCCTTTTTAGATGCTTTTTTCCCCTTCAGAAATGAGCTGTAATGGGAACAAAAACACTTGCCACTTGAGAAGAAAGAAGAACTTGTCTGCTCCTAATAGGAAATGAAAAGGAGGTGAAAGAATAACTGGAGATTATAAAATTCCTTCCTGAGATTGTGGGCAGAGTGACTGAGAAATCACAGAATTGTAGGGCTGTGCTTCTCAGCAGTCTCTTAATCCAGCTGTCCTCAGAAGCAAAACACAGAACATGCCTGAAAGACACTTCTGTGCTCTGTTTCTAAAAATCTCCAGTGAGACAGATTTATCTATATCAGCAAGCTGATACAGAAAGTTCTTCCACGTCTTCTATGCTGCAAAATAGCCCCATAATGGTTTTGTATCCTCATCTGACAAGAAAGGCAACTAGTCACCTTATTCTCTCTGAAACCTCTTAGCAGACGTTTTTTTACTCTTCTCTAAAATAAATAAATTCAGCCCTCTTAGTGTTTCCTCCCAGGCCATGTTTTCTAAACCTCTCCATTTTTGTTGTTTTACTTGCATTGTCTCCAATTTGCTGCTTTGTTCGGATATAGATGAATTGAAGATGGTGCAGGGAAAACCAGCAAACGTAAAGCTGCTGGATTGGAACTGTGGTTGTTTTGTCTGTTGTTTTTTTGAAGAAATAAACAGAAACTCCTCTGCATTTTGTGGGGATGAAGAGACACATGGTAAGTAATAAGCTCAAAGGTCAGGAAATTCAAAGTTATGGTTTTTAGTGCAAAATGTTTCCAGACATTTTTCAGATTTAAGGAAATTAAGGCTTTAGGCTGACCTTGTAACATTTTGAAGTAGAGATCCTGATCAAGGAAAGTGTGTGCATAGCATTAAATGTGAATAATATCCCTAAAGTTAGTGCTACCTTACATATTGCAAATATCATACATTTCTTGGCTCTTCTTTAAGCCAAAATGTCTTTTCTATATCCATCTACATACTCTAGTCATACTCTTTAGATCATGTTGTTTTACAGACATGCAAGTAACAGCCAGCCCTGAATGTTTAACACTGAAATTATTGGACTGGGAGGCGGGGGGGGGGGGGGACAAAGGAAATTTATTAGAAAGAAAAATAGAAATGCTTGCTTAATTTAGAGATTTCGTATGTTGGACAGCATGCTGCTGATTATCGCTGACATCAGGAAGGCAGAGTTATCAGGAGAAGAATTGGTGACTTCTCACTATTTCTGCACTATTTAGCTACCATTAAATTAATCAGGAGGGACTTAGTCAGCTTCATTATAGTTGGCCTGGGAGAGGAAAAAATAATACTCCCTTGGAGAAGTCTCACCATTAGGGCTTAAGAAATAAGTACTTTCTGCTGCTAGTGCGGAAAATAGCTGCAGAAATTGGGCCATAGTCTTCACTCTTCTATAATACAGAATATTATATATACACTACACTGAGAAACACTGCAAATTTCACTAAATTTTTGGCATCCATCTGTTGCAACGTAGGGAAATAGAACTTGAACATCTGGACTGGGATACGAAGGGTATGAGAAATCACTCTTTAGCTTAAAACCTCAGTAGAAACCATGTCATATACGTATATCTATAAGACCTCTAGTCAGTCATTAACAGCTTAGCTACAAAATAACATTAAACCTTTATGAGGATCAAAAGATCTTGTCTCACACTAATCTCCTAATATCTGACAGCATAAAAAAACTTCAGAAACATCAGCCTGTTTAAAACCTGCCCAAATTTATATTTCAGGCCCTGTTGTTCCGAAAATAATCCTCCTCCAGGATTTAAAAATAAATGAGGAAGGTTCCTGGCTGCTGTGCACCGGGAGAAGTCCGTGGTATCTCGGCACACAGCTTTGGGAGCAGAGTATCCGAGAGACACGAAGCGCGTCCCACGTGTGAGGCAAAGGCCCCAAGCAGCGCGTGATTAATCCACCAGAGTGCTGTTGTGGCTCCCTCTGCACGCTGGAATATCTCCATTTTCCACAGATGGCTATTACAGGCACTGTTCCTATGGCAGGGAGATAAACATTAGTGCCATCTCTTTTGCGCGCCTTGAGTTCTCAGATTAACCTTTCCCGCGGCTCATTGCCTCGTGATTCACGGCTGGCAGGGAAGGCTTTGTCAAGGCAATATGCCCTCTTCCAGGCAACAATATCTGCAAAAAGCTTATGTTTTGAGAGTGACTGTGGCACCAGTGCCTTGTGGATATCGTTCCACAGCCATATAGAGCGAGGCCGCGTGGTCCAGCCAAGCCTTCCATCCATTTCCCAGTATGAGAAGCAAAAAATGAGTGTTTCCTATATAAATACCTACATGAATAGGATTTTATCTTAAGTAGGCTATCCACTGGTAGGGCACAACAGAAAAGCACAGGCAGCTTTCTTGGCATCAGTACTACAAGGGCAGTCCTGGGAGTGCCATAGGATTGGGATCCTTGGATGTGCTCCCTGTTGTGACCATTGGATCAGCACAAGCTGCAGCAGAAACATCAGGGCACAGCCACGTTTCTGCCCACCCCTCCTGCCCCAATGCTCACACTTTCTGCAGCTGGTCCTGAGGTCCAAGAAGCCATCAATATATAACAATGTGTAATCCCTTCCTTTTGCAGCACACAGACTGGAATTCCTGGTTATCCACTGGAAAGAAAAGGGTAGAAAGTGGGACTTTATTATAGAGTTTTCCCCATGCTCCCTCACGAAAAGAGCTGTGCAAGGACTAGGCACAGTTTAACACCAAGAAAGTCATCAAACAAGAGCGTGTTAAAGGCTATATATTTGTTTTGAGAATCAACTTTCTGGAGCTAAAAATCAGATTCAGAAATTATCTTATCATGAGCACAGGTCCTCTAGAAACTTCCTGGGAGTACACTAGGTCTTAGACAGAGAACATCAAAGATGATAGTCACTGATCCCCCCAAAGCCTGAGTGGGAAATGCTGACTTTACTCTCTAGAAATATTCTTTAAACCTCTTATAACAAAACCGTTTCTTAAATACA